CGATTTCAATCTCCGGTATGGTGTATCGGCTAGCATCGCCCGCTTTCATTGGTCCCTTCTACAGGGCATCGGTTCCGGGCAGAGCCGGGTTCGACTCCCGGTACCGGAACAACATCGACCGCACGAACCCTCATGGGGGCGCTTTTTTTTGATTTTCGCTGTTATAACAACTTGACGTAAGTGAGAAGGGGGCACAAGAAGATACCTTAGGTGGATGAGGTAGGAGTGAGTATTGATACGACTTTTGTACACAGGATGCGAGAAAGGAGCAGACAGCTACATGTAGGTTGTACGCCGTGTTATTCATCTCTATCACACACGTAGTCAATAATCCGCTTCCACGCTCTCCTTCTCAATGTACCCACGCCATCCTCGAGACATCCCACCGTCTCTTCTCACGAAGACCCTTGGCGAAGAACGGACGAACAGCAACGACATACTCTCTACAACATACACTACTCCTTCCTACCATGACATAACCCAACCAGCATCCCCACCACCATGCAAAACTCCATCGCTCAGAATGCCCTGCCCCGGCCCGCGCTATGCAACACATGTATAACACCCCACCCCTTCAGGCCGTCTTACAATCTCCATCGAACCTGATCCATCCCATCTTCATTACAATGACCAACCAGTCCTGATCCAACCCGAGCAACCATATTTCCACACTCGTCGCCATCGCCATGTAAAACCGCAAGGGGTTGCAACGCAGCAGTATTCACAATTCTCCGCACTCGCGCTCACCCTTTGATGCTGATGCTCCACCGACGCCTCGCTGGGAACGCTTCAAGCAGTCACTCTCCTTCCATCCTGTTCTTCCCGGAGCAGCAAACAAAGCGACACCTTCAAGCCCCACTCTGCAATCTCGACCGATCACCGTGCCGCCCTGTGGTTCAATCCCCCCCAGTCCGCCGACTACTCCTCTCCTCCTCCTCCTCCAGCACATCGCTCAACCGTGTCGGATGATGATGCCGCGTCGTCTGCACCGCGTCCCAGCCCCCGTACCCGGAACCCTCGTAATCAGGCCCACTTCCACTTCCACTTCCGCTTCCGGGCGGCCCGCCACCGCCAGTAGTGGGCGTATACGTCGCCGCCGCCATCGCCTGCGCGCTCGTGGTCGGTGCGGAGGGGGCTGGAGGCAAGGGCTGCGAGCCAGAGGGGTAGTAGGATTCTGGCGGCGCGGCGCTTGGTTGCTGCGCGTACGCTTGCTGGTGCGATTGAGGCTGCTGTGGCTGGCTTCGTCCGTACCGAGCAGCGAGTTCGCGTTCTTGTCTGATGGCTTCTTCGTCGTACGCGTCCTCACTCTCGCCTTCGCTCGGCCTGTGGCGCTGCTGCTGGAGGACGATTGGACGGCCGCGCTCGTCGTGCCGCATACTGCCAATGGCGTCGACGCCGTACTCGGTCTCTTCTTCGCTCATCGTGTCGACGTAGCTGGCTTCTGAGAGTACGTCTTCGCGCCTCTGTGGTGCGAACTGCGGAGGAGCTCCTTGTCCACCCGCCGATGAGCCTGGTGGGGAGTGCAGGAAGGTTTCGGTCGGACCGTGTTGGTAGAAGCGTTGAGTCTCTGGCGACGAGGCTGCGGGTGGATGAGCTCCCATTGTTGCTGCTGCCGAGGGCTGCGCCATACGAGGGTCCTCACCAACAGGGTATGGTCGGTAGGTACCTGCAGCCAGCGACGACTTATCCTGCTCGTGATGCATTGCTGACGGCTGCTGCTGCTCTGTGAAGGGATCCGTGTTCGTCGGCGATGGCCTGTCGCGATAGTATTCCGCTTCATCACCCGGACTCGCCAGCCCCGCGGCACCAGCACTCGAAGCACCTGCAGCACTACCGTACTGCATCTGGCCATCCCGCGTTGTCGGTCGCTGACTGGCACTACCAGTCCGGCTTGGATATGCGTTGTACGGCATTACTTGTACACCAGCGACGAGAGCAACCCGGCCACTCTTCAGAGCCTCAGCAATATCAAGTGCATCTTGGTTTCTCCGGCCGAGTTCTTCCCATGCTCGGCGAGCTTCCTCCTTCGAGATCATGAGCTCTCGTCGCATCTCTGTGACTTCCCGTCTCGCGACAGCCGCGGCTTCTTCGGCATCCCCCCGCTTGATGGCAGCCTCTTCTCTTGCACTCCGTTCAAGTCTCATCTGCCTCTCGGTCTGCGCTTGCATTTCCTGCTGCCGCTCGGTATCGCCTCTGGTCTCGAAGAACCATCGCTGGAACTTCCGCTCACTGCTTGCTCGTAACCGCTGAAGCTCGACGACCGCGTGGAAGAGGTTAGCGCCAGCTGCTGACAGATCTGTGATTTGGCGATTGAGTGTGGCGGCGTTGGGTATCGTGTTCTTGATCTCCTCGGTGTTCGACTCCAGCTTGTGTAGCCAGTATGAAGTGAGGCCTTCCCAATGCGACGACAGCGTCTCCCACCGCTCAAAGGCGTGCGGGAAAGATGAAGAAGTGGCACGCTGTGAGCTTTCGGCGGCTGGTTGTTGAGCCTGCGAGGATGATGCGGCGCCAGCTAAGGTTGGCCCACTTGATTGTCGTGGTGTGGCTTGCGCCTGCTGTGTCCGACGAGCTCCACCGGCTGTCGGCTGTGCTTGCGATCCACTCGACGCCCTGGTCCTACCAGCCGGATAGTCCTGTGTCTTCCCACACGAGTACTCTTGCGTCCTGCCTACAGGGTCACCCAGCACATCGGCCCCGACCACAGAGCCTCTGACACCACTTCTTCTATCCCCGGCGCCGTCGAATCCGCCTTGCTGGGCGGCCGGGTCGGACGCATACTGCGACGATGCCTGGCCGAACCTAGACGCGCCGCCACCTACGGTAGTACTCCTCCGCTCAGCACTTCTCCTCCTATCATCCGCCAATCGTTGCGTCTCTTCCGCCCTCTGTTCTTCCTGTCTCCGCGCCTCACGAGCGTTGCGGTCTCTCATGACATCTCTTGGTGTGCGTATGCCCGTCGGCGTGCCAGACGGGACCGGTACTGGTCCACCGGTGCGAGCTCCACCATTGGACGCGCGCCCTCCTCCCAGCTCAGACATCTGCGCGTTCTCTTCCTCCAGCACGGGTGTGAAGTTGTTGGGGTGTCGCAGGAACTCTTCGATCACGTACTGGATCGCAGCCTGCGTGCGTTTTGAAGTTCGAAGAGCCGGGTGCGGCGGTTGGGAAGCCCAGAAAGCGCTGCTGGTCTTGCGATGGGAGGCGCAACGCGGTGATGGTGGGGCACGGGGAGATGGTAAGGGTTCGGGGGTTCTTCTCCCGCGCGGTGGAGGGTCGACAGAGCTAGAGCGTAAACGAGGAGATCGTAGCTCGTCGAGTTGTGGGGTGCGGCGGAGAGTATGTGCACTGCCAGAAGATGACGAGGGCCGTGAGTAGTCGCGTAATCCTGCGCGTTGATTGTACGCTGAAGCCGGCTCCTGGCGCTGCTGTCTGATTAGAGATGTCGTGTAAGTCGTATACCGCTCGTGGGTATCGTGTGAATCGTTAAAGCGGCGCGAGGTTGAAGCGGACACGGCTGCTGTTGCTCAATGCCGTGGGAAGAGGTATGTATAGGTCGATGTTTGCATGCGAGGTGAGGTGATGGTGTATACTTCTGGCTATGCCTGCGCAACAGCTGAGGTGCCAATGGCTACCGCGTGGCAAGAGCGACGGAGCGGGAGTGGTGGTGGTGTCGGTGGTGGTGAGCTTGCGCGAGACACGCAGCTTGGCGTGCTACCGGCGGGTTAGGTGCGATGCTCGAGCTAGACAATGGCAGTGTAAGTGAGCGGGCCATCGTCTACCAGCAAAAGTGAGTGGACGCGTAAACGCGAGCGAGGGTGGTATAAGGAAATGGCCGGGCTCCCATGGACTGTGTAATAAAGATGAAGGCTGGCAGTCCGAACTAGGCCCGACTGTGGCTGGGTAGAATTACCCCATCTCCGCCCGGACCTCCGTCTCCTGGGATCCTGCTCGCGCACGAACAATGAGCACTCACCTGAAGCGATACTCTTCTCGATTGCCGCATACAAACGATGCGCTGTCGAATCGGTTTCTGCGAGAAGTCTGCCGAGATGTACCAAGTGTCGTGGTTGTCGCGGTGAGGTGAGCGGAAGAAAAGGTTCGACGTCGTGCATCCGCTGGCGATTCAGACGGCAGGAGCGACCGACCGTCGAGTCTGCACCTTTCGTCTGGCGAACAACGAGCGTTCGGACTCACACAGCTCGGATATTGAAGGGGGCGGGAGCAAGCTGAGATGAGCACAGCGGTGAGGTGAATGATAATGCGGCTGCTCGTTCGTCCGCCGCATCGCCTCGATCTGTGCTGCCGGCTCCGTCACACGAGCTCGTTCGTGCGCTGCTGCTACCCGCTTGTCGCCGTCTCGTTGCTCGTCGCCCACGCGGACTGTCGTGCAGTCTCGATCTTCATGGCCGCGCACAGTGTTCTCGTCTCCCTGCGGCGGAGGACGGAGACATCGATCCTCTTCGCGACTCGCAGGACCGCGCGCGGCTCTGCCAACGCACAGTGGCGGATCCCTGTCCATGCGTCCGGCACCAGCCACTTCCCGCTGCCGCAGCACGGCAGACTTCCATTCGGATGACATGTCAGAGACGGCAACCGACTGCTCACGGAGATGAAAACGACGGAAAGGATGAGAAGGAAAACTGATGGTTAGAATCGGGACGAGGATGCGCAGTCTATCTACTGCATGTACGTACTGAGACCGGGTCCCGTGGTGTCTGGAGCCAATGGAGCTTCATTGGCTGGCGAGACTCTGCATGTCGACGGATCTATCCACCTGCCTCGCTCCACTTTCTTTCTTCGACGGTGCTGCTAGATCAGGAAGGCACGTCGGAAAGCTTTACCTCTAGATCTACGCGGCGAACAGTGTCGCGTAGAGAGGAACATACGCAGAGGCTGACGCAGTTCCCATCACTGCCGAGCACTTGATTGATGTCAAAGCCCACAGCTTCCTGGTATCTCCGCAGCGTATCACGCAACATCATGGAGGCAGATGTATCAACCGTTGTCTGCAGGTCCTTGCATCGCCAATCGAGACCAACATTGACGTAGCAACACCCCCAGCAACGCTCCACGGATGTGCAGCATCGCCGATCACCACCATCAGCCCCTTCG